AGCATCGAGCTATATTAAAAATCTACAGGAAATAATTGCTTAAAATGTTTTAGGGCCATAAGAATTCTTATTACTATTTCCTGAGGAATGGTTTTTGTTTTTACTATTGATTCCTTATTATGTAATTTTAAAAAACTAATAGTTCAGTAAATATTTTAGAACTTGATTTTTATGGCTTATTAGTTATCTGGATGAATTCCTTCAGCCACACAGACCATATGGCTAGTTCTCCAAATGTTTTTTATTTCTAGTAAATCTTGCCGTTCAGCAATCAGAGTCCTATATTTTGGAGAATACTTCCAATTGAGGTAGAAGGGTCTTAGATAATACAAAAGGCAGATGCAATGTCCTAACATTTTCATAGAAGAATTTACAAGGAATTTACCCAACTAGGTTATCGTCATTGTGTAGCAACAATATAAATAAATAGTGGCTTCATTAATCACTGAATCAGATGAAGCAGTTATAAATCAAGTTGTCTTTGCTCTAGAGATTATTGTAATTTCAGACCACATTACTTTCTCTGAGCAGTTTCCATTGTAAGGTTGAATATCTTCTTTATTCAGATCATCATTAGAGATTAAGATTATCAAATAGGAGTTAAATTATGTTTGATCTTTTTTTCCCTGAAAATAATAGTGAACATATTTTCTACATTATGGATATTAGACAAAAATGCATTTGTTTAAATCATAGCAGAAATTACATTTAGAGGATATAATTACTTGATTTTCTAGTAGTGTGAAATACTTTTTAAAAAATTGTGCTTGTCTGTAACTGAAATGTTAAATTGTAACACTGTAGGGATTATAGAGTTATATTTATTAGCTCTCCTTCAGACACTGAAGCACAATGATTTTCACATAACAATTCTCATCCAAGTGCTGCTAATCTGTCGTGCAAATAATGAAGTTATTTGGTTCCCTATCTAGCTATTCACAAATCACTGTAATCCTTGAGACATTGTCTTGTTGCTCATTTGTATTAAAATTTGGGTGATGTGGGTTTATACTTTAGAACAAAATCCATCAATTCAACTCTGTTAGACAGCAAAGCATTTGGGCTTACTAGTTTTTATGTGTTATCAGTAGTATAAATTTTGAAGGGGCTATTTACTACCAGTGACTAAGGGGGAAAATTATATTGTCCATATCATTTGACTTGAACATTTGTGGTATTGTAAAAGTCTTGTCTTTTGTGCTTCAAAATTGTTTAAGCCATACATATTCTTAAACAAGGCTCTTTTGTTCTTTCCAACAGCCTTTTTCTGTTTTGTCTGTTACGGTTAGTACTTCATAGATTTTAGAAATTGAGAAGTTGTTGAAACATTTTTTTTCTTGAGTTCATCAGATATGTGATTTGTCATAAAGTATAGCAAGCCTTTCACTAACTACTAAATGAATTTCAGAGGAAACACTGTGATTCTACAGAGAGGATTCAGTAGGCCCTTGTCTTCAATGTTTTCTTCTGTTGTGCAGTGCCTACTACTTTGAGGGCACTTAAATAGTAGCAGATGGAAAGTTAAAAATTGTTTTGATTCTTATTGAATAACATGATTACAGAATATATGATTTTTGTTGTCAGTGTATTTAAACATTTTTGCATTGATGTTCTCTAGGAATGTGATTACATTCATCAGGTGTGAACTCTTGTAAATGAATTTTGTATCTTGAATCCACATATAAAGTGTATCATCAATATAAAAATAAACATATTTGCTTAAAGTTTTTTGTAATTCTTCAGTATTTTTAACAAAAATGCTAAACTTATGGTTTGCTTCTTTCAGATAACACTTAAAATGCTTTAAACCATCTTGGGGTTGTGGAATAGACGAGTATTCTTCTAGTTTGTAAATTTCTTCTGCATCCTAGTCTCTGCCCTCCTCCTGGTGGTCAAAACTAGAACCCACGGAGGGAAAGGGGATGTCTTCAGCAGATTTAGGTGGAATCTGCTGACCCTTGATTGAGCCTGGTGTTGGGTGTGAAGCAAGAAACAAAAGCTCCTTTAATGTGGGATGCCTGGCAGAGGTCAAGTCTGGAGACCCGACATCAACTACTAATTTGTAGTGCCATTTTGAATAAGGCAGTTTACCTCCCTGGACTTTATCAAAAGGAGGCAGCCCATTATTTTATAATGAAATTAATGTGTGCCAGCGTGTTTTAAAATAATCAGAGTGCAAATTATAAGGGTATGATTTTAGAAACTTTTCTTTGTTATACATTGTGTATATTGAGTTGCAATTACAAAATGTATAACCTATAGTAGGTCAAAGGCACAAAAGTTAAAACAGTAGTACAAGGCCCGAGATCCCAGTACTAGTTTCTGAAGCCACAGGCTGCTGTGTGAAGAGGGAGGCACAGACTTTCAGTGATCATCTACTGCATAGCCTAGGGTGCAGCGAGAAGAGGAATGGAAGGAAGCGCCCTGCTGGCCTCCGTGGCTGGCACGCAGGCCAAGCAGCGAAACTATGGCGGGGGATCTATCCAGCACAGCAGACGCTGGCCCAACAGCACCAATGAGGTTCTTTCCCTTTGCCATGAGGCTCCTCCCACTTCTACCGCCCCGCCCCGCCCCTTCAAAAAAAAAGGAAAGAAGAAAGGCTAGTCCACTACCCAGCTGTCATCTGCGAGATCAGCCGCTAGCTGACGTGGCGAGCCGGCAGGAGGGTGCGCCCGGCCTCCCGCCCGCGCCCTCCAGCCGCTCTGGCCCAACCGCCACCCCGAGGCTCGCACTTTTGACCGCGGTGACAGCACGCGGACGCATGCGCGCGGTGGGACAGCCCCCGTGCGCAGCCACTTCCGGCGTGCTACTGAAAGTGCGGTTCCGGGTCGCTGCTCCGCTCGCCCGCCGGCGGTGGGGGCTGGTGACGCGGGCTGGCGCTGAGGAGAGGCTAGGGAGGCGGGGTCTGCTGGCTGCCCCGAGAGCGGCAGATGCGCGAGCAGAGGCTCCACGGACGTGAACAGGCCTCTAGTTTTCTCGGTGGCCTTGGTCTGCCCCCAGAGCGGCCTGGACGGGGTGCCCAAGATCCTGGGCAAGGGGCGGTACCGGGGTATTAAAAAGGCGGTGGGGGTGGGGGTGGGGGCGGTCGGGGCGGCGAGTTGCCCCGGCCTGAGAATCTGGAGTCTGGGGTTCCGGGATTCCTCCCTGCGAGACCTCTGGGTCTCGGTTTTATTACTGTCAAATGGGAGAGACATTGGACCCCTCCCTTCTTTGACAGTTCAAGCACGGGCAAGTCCGAAGGGAACGAGGGAGTGGGATCGAAACTGCTGCGGCTGACCCTGGCCAGGTACCTGCCTGCCTTCCTGGGAGTTGGGCATCTGTCTTTTACCCAAGTTTGCTGTCGTTCTTCTCAGCGACTTTCTTAGTGTGAGTCAAGGGTCCATGACCGGACAGTCCAGAGTCTGGCCAGGTAAACGGTGTGTGGCTGTCAGAATCAACTGAAAAATAAATACCAGCACTCGGAAACCTTAATATCTATCATTCAAGATGTTTTGCTCATGGCTCCCTAGGAGAAGTGAGATTTAGGAACCTACTACAGTGAGATTCTGTTCTTTGTGTATGTTAAGTGGAGCTCTTAAGCAAATCTAAATGCAGAGGAGACTAGGATCGGGGCGTGGGGGGAATAGTCCACTGAGAGTTGTGGTAGTGACCGGTTTTCTTCTCCGCTTAACTCCCGGTGCCTTCTCTTCCTCTTCTTTCTCTCCCCCCTCCCCAAATATTGAGGCCTCACACTTGAAAGGAACTATCCAATGTATTTTATCTTTGTCTTCATGCAGGACAGAATGCTTTGATCTCCAAGCTGTTTTAAATCTAGTAGATAAGCCAGGTGAGTAGGTGGTTTACAGACATTGAAGGTAAAGTTTTTGAAAAATTGCACAGACTTAATCTAAAGTGGTAAGAAGTCATTTGTTAATCTTAGAGTAGAGCGTAGATATCTTTCACAATACAGGAAAAGTTAAGGTTGAAACCAGAGTATCAATGTTTAATGTACCATTGGTGGGGAAAAATGTTTGAATCTCATGTTGAATATCATTTCAAACATTCTGATGAAAAGAAAAATGTGATTTGGGGTAATTTTATCAAACTCAGAGCCGCACAGCATTTCCAGGAAAAACAGCTTAAAGATATCTGATAGCTACACAATATACTTGCCTGGCTTTTCTGCTTTTTTCTAGGTTGTCAGCCTTTGCTAGGAAACAGCTGATTGCAAACTGTCCTGGACCATCATATGCTCATATGTTTTTGCTTTCTTTAAAAAAGAAGGTACTAAGTGTAGTTAAACTTAACTTACATTTTACTGGGGGAAGGATTCAAAAGCATTATATGAGAGTAACGTTTGCCCTGTGAAGTTTTACTAAATGTATCATATACCATAGCCAACATGATGTAATAAAAACAGAGTAGGCGCTTGTGAGTCAAAGAGACCTGAGTTCAAATACTAACTGCAACTTAGCTAAGCAATCTTGGGCAGGTTTCTTACCTCCCTGAGAATGGATTTCCTCATCTGTATATGCATATGAAGCACCTGAGTGCTTTTTTAATTGTTTAGTAACGGTGTTCTAGTAAGTATGTGTGTAAAGTTATGAAACTTCATTTTGAAACCTGAAGGTTAACGTAGCAGTTCGGCTGTGAAATCTCTCCAGTGTTTAACTTACAGTTTATCTCTTTCATCTGATTTATAGACACTGTGTTGCCATAAACCCTTGCCCCAAATTTAAATGGGAATGCAGCTGGCTTGGATATCTGGAACTTTCTAGGCTCCTATTACTGAATCCCTGGTCGCTGGTCTTAAGGGGTACTGTGGTGGTTCAGCAGCTGGTCAGCAGTGCAGGATAGCCACACAGCAAAAATGTTTGCAAAACTAAAGAAGAAAATTGCAGAAGAGACTGCTATTGCTCAGAAACCAGGAGGTGCTACTAGGATCCCACGGTCAGTGAGCAAGGAATCAGTTGCTTCTGTGGGAGTTGACTCAGGAGATGACTTTGTAAGTATCTTTAGTAGTTTTGAGTATTTGGTTCATGCCAATATTCTTTTTAAATAATATTGGGAATCCTTTTAATATTTTCTTTAAAAAATTATGTGATTATTTCATAGTTTTTGTGGTTTGTAGCTATACAAGACCCTGCACATCTGATTTTTCTTACTTGGAGGTGCTTTCCTATTTCCTTTTTTCTTATTTTTCTGAGTCCCTTTCCATAGTCTCTACGTTGTCCTTTTGTAGTCTTTTTCCATCTCTATGCCTTGTGCATCTTCTATTACATTTCATGTCTCAAAATGCTTGTGCCTATTTTCTCAGCAGACATGTAACTTTAAATCATTGTTACTTAACATGGTCTATGAGTTGTGGGGCTTTAGCGAGAGTTAGTCAATTTTATGGGAAAGTTGATGGAAAATTGTCAAAGATGTAACTGGTGATAGTAGTATGTCCCTTTTTAAAGTACTTTTGTGGCTGTAAAGATTTCAGAAAATGAGGATGTGGCCATGTTAGGGAAATGTCATGCCTAAGGATTAAAATGTGTCTTTAGCATGTGACAGGATCCTCTTAAGTAAGATGGCCTTTTAAAAAGTGATATGATGTAATGCTTGATATAAATAAAGGAATGTATGTAATGTATATGTAAAGAATAAAGCATAAAAATATTTAATGTTGCTTATTTTTGAGCTTTATAAAAATAGTCTACCATCGGTGGTCCTCTTGGACTTTTTTTTTTCTTTTTAAACTCAACCTGTTACTAACATGAAGTTGTGGTTCTTTTTTTTTTTTTCCCCCACTGCTGTATAAGATTCCAGCATTTGAAAAGAGCATAATTTATCTCTCCCGTTTCCTGACGATAGACATTTGAGTTGTTTCCGTGGTCAGATGAGTCTTCCTCCTCCTTTCTTATGCCTGAAACCCTGGTCATATTACATGGCAGGAGCTATTAGGTTATTGGGGTGGAGCAGTAGATTACCAGATCGAAATTAGCATTGGCTCCTATATTTAACAGGAAATGTAAGTGCACATTTGAATACCATGCTGAAGGATATAGTTTTAATGCTGAGTTCTATAGTAGAACAACCTGCTTTGCCTTCATGCTGACAGAATGTATTCTAGATATAGAGATTGACTTCAATTCAGGATTTTGAGATTTCTAAAGTAATCTATTTGAACTTTCTATATAAAAAGTCTGATCCTCACTTTTTATCTCCAGACCCTTATGTCGAACTGCCTGTATTTCTGTACCTAGAGGCCTTACTTTAGGCATCTCAAATTCTAAATGTACAAAACTGAATTCATTAACTCCATCTCCAATTGTGTACCTTCATCCCCCTAAGTCACCAGCTAGAAATCCTGGAGACATTTTAGACTCTTTCCTCATTCATTTCTTGGTGTCCCGTCAGTCCGTAAGTATTTTGGGTTCCATCTCCTAATTGTCTCTCAAACTTGCTCTCTCTACCCCATCTACTAGTAGTACATGTACTAGTACTGCCGTTTTAGTTCAGGCTTGCTTTCTTGAACTCCCATATCTTTCTCTCTTTGTTGGACAAATGTGGCAGCCTCTCTGAGCTCTATGCCTCCAGTAGCTCCCCAAAGTGATCTTTCTAAAAAGCAGATTTATTTATGTCTCTTCAGTGCTTAAAACCCGTCAGCGGCTTCCCCATCATCTTTGGGATGAAGTATATACTCATTATTGTAGTACAATGGTAAACTGTTAGGGTCTCATTGCAGCTTACCTATTCAGCCTCACCTTACTCCACTTTCCTACACCCTGTGCTCCTGGAATGGACCACATTCCTTCATGCCTACAAATGTTTCATATGCTGTTTTATCCCCCTGGAATGTCTCCTGTCTCCCTTCCCCTTTCTCCTTGTGTACTTGTGGCTGACTCTTACACCTCCTTCAAGACTCAGCTCACATTTTAGTTCCAGGAATCCCCTCTGACCCAACCTGCCCCTCTCACACATCCCTACTCTTTGCCCCTTTTAACTGAGTTTGATGCTGTGTCTTCTGCTTACTTCTATAATAGCACTTATTATACTCCATTGTTATTGATGATTTAATTGTTTGTTTCTCCCTCTAAACTGGGAGCTTCATTAGAGTGTAGCAGTTAGGGACTTGGGTCAGGTTGGTTTGATTCCTGGCTCCATCATTATTGTATGGATTTCGTTGTGTTCTTTTCACTTTTCTATGCCTTAGTTTCTACATCTGTAAAATGGGGATAGGAACTGTACTTATCTTTATTAAAATATGTGTGTCGGGGATTCCCAAGATGACTTCCAGGTTCAATGATTCACTAGGATAACTGACAGGACTCAGCATATAGTGGTACTCACGTCTATGATTTATTAGAGGGAAAGGGTACAAAACAAAATCAGCAAAGAGAAAAGACCTGTGGGGCAAAGTCTGGAGGAAACCAGATGCACACTTCTAAGAGCCCTCTCCCAGTGGAGTCACACGGGATGTGCTTAATTCCCCCAGCAACAGGTTGTGACATCGTGTGTGAAATGTTGTCTACCAGAAAGATCATTAGAGACTCAGTGCCCAGGGTTTTTATTGGGGGCTGATCACGTAGGCATCCTTTGCCTGACAAATAACAAAATGCCAGGCTCAGAAGGAAAGCAGATGTTCAGCATAAACCATATTACTTGTCCAACTAGTTTAGGCGTGGTGAGCCACTATTATCAAGGAATGGTGGGAACCCTCTTGCTATCTTAAGTTCCCAGATGCCAGCCAAGGGCCAACTTTACAAGTAGGCCTTTCTAAGGATAGCAGTCCTAGGCCTTTAATGTTGACTCTCTTCTGCATAATGTATAAAGCATTTAGCATAGTGCCTGACTCTTAGTAAGCATTTCATAATTAGTAGTTAACTGCTACTGCTGCTGCTGTTTTAGGCCGGGACTCTTTGTTACACTACTGTTCCTGGTGCTTAGTACAGTGCTGAGACATAGGATGTCTTACTGACAGTAATAATCAACAATTTCTTATACTACTAGTAATAGATGACATTTATTAAAACTAATTATATGGTAGGCTCTGTTTTATGAACTTGACAAGTATTGATTTATTTAATCCTCTTTACAACACTATGAGGTAGATATTTGTTATCGCAGTTTACATATAAGGAAATCAGTTCACAGAAAAGTTGAATCATCTGCCCAAGTTTCAGTAGCTTATAAGTGGTGAAGCTGGGACTTTAAGAAACGTCTTCTGACTCCAAAGACTCTCCTTTTAATTTCATACCGACTCTTAGTAAATACAGAATGCGCGAATGACTGGATGGGCAAATGAATATTTGAAGTGAATTGTTCAACCACCGTTAAAGATATTTTGGGGATAAAAGAGAACAATGTGATTAAAGACTGAGTATTAGATAATATTTTTGATTTTGTTAAGTGTGATAGTGGCATTGTTGTTGTAAAGGAAAATGTCCTTATTTTTAGAAATGTTTATCAAAGTATTTAGGATGAAATGTCATGGTGTCTGTTATTTAAAGTACTTCAGCAAATTAAAAATAGTGATAAAGCAAATATGGGAAAATGTAAGCAATTATTAAAGTAGATGGAGAATGTTCATTAAACCATTCTCCCTACTTTTCTATATGTTTGAAAATTTTTATAATAAAAAGCAAAAAGATAAATATTACTACTTATTTATTAGCAATAATAAACAGTGCCAAACTAGTAATAGTTCCCATATGTTTTAAAATCATCTGGATTGTTAGGAGAAATTGATGTCTCATTAATGTATTGATTTATTGAAAGCATATTATGTGCTAAAGTCTTTGATGCATTTTAGAGCTTTAGATTGCTATCCCTTTGTTTTATAGATGAGAACACTGAAGCCCGGTAACTTTATCAATCTCAGTGATAGATTCTTTGTCACAGACACAGCCTTTGATCCATTACTACTCACTAAAGAACCCTCCCCCCTTATCCTCGGACCTTATCTTTGGTAAAATAAAGTGATTTTCTCTTTTTATCATTGTAAATATATTTATATTATGTACTTTGTTTACCACTGATTGAGTGTGTGTGTAAAGTTTATCTGTTTAGTATTTTTATATCTCCTTTATATTATAGAGGGAGAAGATGGAGCTCCTCCTACTTTACAGATAGAGAGGCTAGGACCCAGGTACATTAAAAAGCCTTTCAGTGATCACAGATAGTTTAAATGTAACCAAACCTAAAATAAGAGTTGTCCGCCTTTTTGGTTCAGTGCTTTGGTATCACACTGATGAAAGCCCACGTGTGAATACGATCTCTCCTTCTGTCTATCTCAACAGGCTTCCGATGGAAGCAGCTCCAGAGAAGATCTTTCGTCCCAGCTTTTAAGAAGAAATGAACAGATACGGAAATTAGAGGCCAGACTTTCTGGTATGTCTAAGATCTCTTAAAAAAACAAAGAACAGGAAACTTGCCTAGCCCTCTCTCCTTATAAAATAGCCATATGGGATAACCCTACAGTTATTTTGACATATCATTTTTATCTTCTTAGTCAGAAAGGAACAATTTATACTCCCTTTGTTCTCTTCTTCTTTTAGTGTACTGCATAAATATAAATTCAAAACTGAGTTTGAACGTTAAAAAAAAAAAGCAACTTACGTTTTTCTGCTCCTGAGGTTTCTAGCCATGGATATAAAAGGTGTTAAAAGTATATGTAGAGTAGATTTAACCATTTTTCACCCATTAGCATAGCTTGCTTTCAGATGGAAAGGGGTAGGGGATAGTATTTCCAGGGAAGAGCAAACAGATGTTGTATTCTTCAGTACCAGAGAGGGTTTGGTGCTGTGTTGCCACTTGCTACAGCTACATATCACCCATGTAAGTGTCGTGCTGGATCTTTGGGCGACTTCAATGGTATTTCTAACTTTTAACACTTGTATAAAAGCTGTAACTCTCATTACATCTTTTGTGTGTAAAAGTTTACAGTTTACACAACTGCCATTATATCTTTTGCCTGAGCAGGGTATGATCATGATAGAGTTGTGAATTCTTATGTTGGTTTCTGCCAGTGGATATATTTTGAAAGCTTCATCTGTGAAGTGGTCCATACCTTCCGTGTCTCTTTTTGTCCCTTGGCCTTATGCTTATGTTATTGGAGTGAGAGCAGTCGATCACAAAATTCACCAAATTGTATGTGAAGTATTGGTGTTTATGGAGTTATCAAAGGTCCATAGCATAGCTCACAGGTGCCAGTTAATCCATAATTTTATTTAGTCCTCACTGCTGCCTTACTTGGCTTAGCAAGGGTCAGGTCACACAAGTAGTAAGTGGTAGAGCTAGAATCCAAATTCATATTTGTCTGATGCTAGAGTCCATACTCTTAACTACAGTGTACTTTAAATTTGTTACTATTGTGTTTCGCCTACTTGTAAATAATTTTAATAATGGAGGTCAAATAACTTTAAATTTGTTTAATTTTGGGAGGATAGCTACAGAACAATATATACCTTCCCTAATACAGAAGGAAGAATAGTTTGGGCTTGACTTATGTTAGAGAAGGGGCAGGTAAGAGAACTGACATTAACTGGGCCCTTTTATGTCCTGGTTACTGTCCTACAGGCTTGGTGTGAATAATAACAGTAACAACTAGTAGCAGCTACCATTTATTGAGCACTGTGTGCCAGGTGCTTAAGACATGTAAAACACTTAGGTATTATCTAATGCATCCTTTGAGATAGGTACAGTTAATATCATTTGATAAATGAAGAAACTAATACTTAGAATCAATAATTTGCTTAAGTTCTCCCAGCTAAGAACTAACAGAGTTGGAATTTGAACTTAAGTCCGCTTTTCCACTATACCATACTATCTTCTTTGCTCGCCCAGGTAATAAATTCTGACTTTCACCTTTAATATAGCATAGGCAGCTCAGTTCCCAGTTCCTGTGTAGGAAAGAAGCTGACTTTTCTAGACAATTAAGTACTTTCACCATAAAGATGATACTGTGGTAAAGTGTTTACTGTTGCTGTAACCATTGTTACTTAGGTGTGTGGACTAATAGCAAGCTGTTCAGTGAGTTCCGTTTGATCTACTCTACTACTGAGGCTGGAAGGAGAGGTGGGAAACTGAGATTTGAAATAATGAGATGACAGTGTGTTCTTCATAGCAGGGCATTTCTGATGACCAGACCAGGCCTAATTCTTGTTCTCTATGAAGGCTGAACAAATCTGCCTGTTTGTGTTCACCATTTACACCGTGGATAGTTTGTACTCTACCTGTTTGCCTGTGTTGTTCACTGTTAATGGGAGGCTGTCTGCCTAGCTTTCCTTAATAGGAATGGTTTTCAGGTTGAGAAAATCATCATCATTTTTCACTCTTTTTTTTTTTTTTTTTTTTGTTTAATTAACTTCCTTTCCTGATGTTCGTCCATTCCTGGTATGTGCATCACTCTCCTCACCCAAGACTATGCTGAACAGGTCCGAAACTTGCAGAAGATAAAAGAGAAGCTTGAAATTGCATTAGAAAAACACCAGGATTGTACGTATTTTTTCAGTCTTTTCGGGTTTAGTTTTTTGATATGAAACAACAGTGTATATATGTTTGTCCCTCATCAGAGTTCAAATCTTCATTTTATAAGTAGTGTGCTGCTTAAGCAGGTTGATACATAATATTTGTCTAGTATTTATAAGTACACAACTCGTATTTATGTTGCCTCATGAGCATGCTTCTTAGGAGGAGGCCGTTATCTGTTTGTATCAGCTTATCTCCACCCAGTTGACCAGCTTATTGGCTGCCCTTAGGTTTTAGTGAAATCTGGTGCCTGGCCCTTGAGCCTAGGTTAGGAGACTTGGGTTCTAGCCTTAACTTCATTGCACTGTGTTCAGTACCTGGGGGACATCTGTGACTGTCATCACTCCCGCAACAAGAGAACATACATTTTGTTTAGTCTACGTTAAATTATACGTTCTCTTCTGGGTTCTCTCCAAGAAAGATGCTAACGAAAGTAAAAAGTTATTTGTTGTTGATATAATATATGCTCAATTTTTTTAAAGGAAAACAAAGTGAAAGAAAGATTGTTTTGTCTTAAATTGTGTTTTTGTTTTTAATTCTCATAAAGTAGTAGTAGCCATCACTTAGCAACAGCATTGGTGTTTTCTGGCAACATATCTAGTGTTTTATCATTGTACTGTTTAAAAGGTTATCTTTGGGATCTTCCTAAATGTATTTACTTGACTATTAGAAAAAATAAAACCAACAGGAAACAAACAACAAAGAAAACTGGTTTGTTACTAAGGCCAAAAGATTCTTCTGGTAAAGTTAAGATGGATCAGGCTTTTCCCAGTCTCATAATCCACTTATGTGACCTTGGCCTTTTATGTTAGGTGACAGTTGTAAAGTAAATAGAACATTTTTTTATTTGTCATGCTGTTTCTGGAATATTTCCATATCTCAAAGAGAGCCTCTTTATTAACAGCTTCCATGCGGAAATTTCAAGAGCAGAATGAGACATTCCAAGCCAACAGAGCCAAAATGGCAGAAGGACTGGCTTTGGCATTAGCCAGAAAGGACCAGGTATTTTATATGTGGCACTGCCCAAGACTAGTGGTGAGATTTCACTTAGTGACTTGATTTCAAAAATCATGACATAAACTTGGTAGAAAATATTTACAACCTAGGAGAAAAGGAATGATAATTCCTGTAGGGTTTCGTTTGACATTAGGCTTGGAAATCATCGAGAAACTTCACAGTTTTAATCATGAAATGTGGCCAACATGCGAGGCTGTCATTCTCTGTTACTGTGTAGCTTTATAAAATGGAGACGGGAAATAATGTGTCTATAGTCTGGTGGAAAGCCTCAAATAAGAAGAGAGGTCTCTGCCCTCTAAAAACCTGTCTCAAAACCTAGGCCCCAGAACATTTGCCTGTTAGAGTGGAGAAAATGCTGTCAAGCTAGCCATCATCTGTAATGTACAGTTCTTACAGCCTCTGTTCCTGAATTTCTTCTGCCCTTAGCCAGCTAGACAGAGGGGAACTCCTATTAGTGGCAGTCCCAACAGAACCATCCATTGAAAGATACCAAATGAATGACAGCAAGAAAGGAAAATGATAGTATTACTGGCTATTTCAGTAATTATGAAGTATATTTTATTCAAGATATCAATAACATTTTAAATTTAAGATTAAAAAAAACGCCTAACCCGTTACTATCGAGTCATTTGTGACTCATAGCAACCCTATAGGACAGAGTAGAACTGCCCTCTGGAGTTTCCAAGGAGCAGCTGATGGATTCAAACTGCTGACCTTTTGGTTAGTTGCTCAACTCCCAACCACTGATAAGCATCAATATATTATTATTGTAATGATAATCCTGATTTATTAAGACAGGGTCAATTTATTATATTCCATTTAAAAAAACATATTATTTATTTTATTTATAATATGTGGGATGGTTGGCTGGTTTGGTTTGAAGTGTGTATTAGTCATCTAAGAATTTACTTAATGGAAAAAAACTCATTTCCCCAAAACTCAGTGGATAACTATGGTATGAGTGTATGTAGATGAGGGTACTAATCTAAAATCAGTGCATTTTGGTTGTAGGCAGTTGAGATATGGCCTTTTTCCCCCTTTTCTGTGGTTTTTGAATATGGGGTTACTCACACCAGGTAACATAAAACATCTTGGTAAAATCAAGAGGAGAAAGAAAATAATTATCAGGGACTGCTGAAGACACCTTCCCCCCACTTTTAGTAAATTAATTTCTCAGTAATTGCAGGGTTGTCCAACTCATCTGATCCCAGCTACCCATTCCCAAGAAGTAATAATAATACTCATGAGAAATCACTTAGTTATAAGCTGAAAAGCTGCATAAGAACAGAACATACAGCTTTGCTTGGATGTCCTGCTTAGTAAAAATCTGTAGACTTATACTTCTGTCCTAGAATTTTATGTAAAGTTTATTTTCTTCTCCTTTCAGGACTTTTTAGCTTTCTTAATATTAAGCCAAGTTCATGGGTTTTTTTGTTTGCTTTTTTGTTTGGTTTAGTTATTTGCTTTTTGAGGGGAGTTGTGCTTTTTCTCTTGTTTTCTGAAAATCTTGGCATTACTGATGCTCTTCCCTGGAAACTGTACTTTTTTTGTTGTTTTGTTTTAGGAATGGTCAGAAAAAGTGGATCAGCTTGAAAAGGTTAGTTCATCTTCATTTTTGTCTCATTAATGTTGACCTCTAGGGCTTGGGAAACGTTTTATTCAGTAGCCAGTGTACAGATGCTCTACCGCCCCCTGGGAGCAGACCCTTACGTGATTAGACACTGACTTGAAAAGCTCAAGTACCCCCCTTTCCTGGTGGGTCTGCTGAATTTCTTTTACTTAGCCCTTCTGATACCTCTCTACCCCTCTCTTCCCTTTCTCTGTGTTCCTGAAGGTTAATAGATAGGGACTGCTCAGCAGAGCTCCCTCTGGCTTTTTGTTGGGTTCAGCCAGTGGGGAGCACCAAAAGAACTCTGTGTGGAAGAAGAGTGTGGTTAGGACATTTATATCCCCAGCTTTTTCCATGTGGGATGTTTTTGGGTTAGTTACATCCTATGTCGAAAGATCACAGCTTCAGTTGGACCCCTCAGTTGGACGGAGACAGTTTCTGTATCTGGGTTTTTTGTAACCTCTTCACGCCTTTTCCTCTTCATTCCCACCCTTAACAACACATTATCTCTTTGTTTTTTCTTATCTAGCCCACAGCTTTGACAAGTCCCTTTATTAGACACTCCTCAAAATACCTGATTTGAGTGTGACATTTATTCCGGCTGGGGCCCTGATTGATACTGTGGGTAGTATTAGGAATACTTTTTAAAGAGGAATGGGGAAGGTGGACGTTTCTCAAGGGTCAGCATTGAACAGATAAGAGAATCTCTTGGCTGGAGACAGATGAGGAAATTGATTATTTTAGTACCATAGATTCTGTAATGCTGTGTAGGTACCTTAAGTAATGTGTTCCTAGTTCCAAAAATGAACAAAAAGATGAAGTTTCAAGCCCACAGTTGAAAAACATTTATGGTAGAAGTAGACACATTTCTTAGATTGATGTATTCAGTTCCAAAATATACATACTGTTAATTTTATTAAATAGATGAGTTTTATTACTCCTCCATTTTCACAGAACAAGTTAAACTAGCGATTTTCTTTGTGTGCTGTGGAAGTCTGATCATCAGACTATCAGAATGTTATAACATATTTATGTAGGGAAAGAATTACAGAAAAGTTAACCTGCCTCCCAAAAAAATTTATGCTTTAAAAAAAAAAAAATCCCCAAACATACTGTGTTAATGCTGGTCTTTTTAAATATGGGCATGTGGGTTAGGTTAAAGTTTTCTTGTCTTAAACACTTTAAGATTGCGATGGTTGAAATTCACATTGTTTTTTGTTTTTTTAACCTTTAAAATTATGATAAGGGGGATCTGTATAGGACTGAACCAAATGTAACCTACTTTTTAAAAAAATTTATTCAAATATAACCTACTTTGGTTCACTAAGGTGATTTTCCCCTTTTTTCTTCCTTTTCAAAGAATGGGTTGGAGAATATTTTAACTGAGAAAAAATAGTGAAACATCTATGTAGGTCTTTGAAGCCAGTTCGATTTTTTGGAAATGTTATTTTTACATTGTTTTAATGTCTTTTCAATGAGAAGTTAGAAACTGCAACAGCAGGCTTCATCGCAAGTGATCGTGGAAAGCTATGATTTAGTAAATTGTAAGCTGCTAACATCAGTCATATCTAGTTTTTGTCACCTTGCTAACAAATCAGTTCGGCTTCAGAAGGGTTAGTCAGTCTTACTTAATTATTCCTGTTACTCAGCCAGTTCAGGGTGTCTCTGAGAATAGATACGTAAAATGAATATTTGAATTGCTAATCAAATTTAAGAACTTTAAAGGTTTAAGTAATTGTTGCTCTTGTTCGCGTATTCACAACTAATGTTTAAAACACTTTAAAAAATGTTTTTATTGAGGTAAAGTTCACGTAACATACAATAAACCATCTAAAAGTACAGTTCAGTGGTATATTCACAATATTGTGCAACCACCACCTCTCTCCTTTCAAAACTTTTTCATCATCCCATAAAAACACTTGTATCCTTTAAGTAATTACTCCACATCTCTCTCTCTCCCTGCCATCCCCTGGTCACCTCTAATCTGCCTATTTTGGCTATTTCATATACGGTAAAACCTGTGAGACAGCTGGAACTTGAGGGGACTGCCTTGTTTTTCTGGTCTCACAAGTTTTCTGTCTTACACTTTTCTGTCACTCTGATGGGTTTCTACCTTGCACAGGTTCCCGCTTCTGCAGGTTTTACTATAAATGGAATCACCCAATGTGGGACCTTTTATGTCTGGCTTCTCTCATTAGCGTAATATTTTCAAGGTACATCCAAGTTTTAGCATGTGTATCTGTACTTTATTTCTTTTTATGGCTGAATAATATTTCATTATATGTATATACCACATTTTGTTTATCCATTTGTCCATTGATGGACCTCCAGGTTGTTTCAGCCTTTTGGCTGTTATAAACAATGTTGCTGTAAACATTCCTCTGCAAGTATAACACATTTATTTTTAACTTAAAGTATTTGTAGATAATTCCATATTGGTCCATATTATTGTAAAACTTCCTGTTATTAATGTATTATTGTCTACTGATAATATATTTCCTTAAGATTTTCCTTTAGTTAAAAATTCCACTTGCATAATACGAATTTTTAATATTTTAGTTGCCTGAGTTGGTGTCTTCTTTTTCCAAATAGGAAAAAAGGTTTCTGACAGCTCAGCTACAGGAAATGAAGAACCAGAGTTTGAATCTTTTCCAAAAGAGAGATGAATTGGATGAATTAGAGGGTTTCCAGCAGCAGGAACTAAGTAAAGTAAAGCACATGGTGCGCATTTTTGTTTTAGTAGCTAAATGCGGAATAGATGATTAATTACTCTGCTTTTGCTGGTCACTTCTGTTAAATCTCTGATAAACATACTCTACTAATTTTTGGTAGTAATCACGTTTGTATGTTTTTCAGTTTATTAAAATGGAAAAGCTCTGTTTGAAATCTAGTCTTTTTCCTTTTTCCTTGACTACTAGGCATATTTTGTCCTTATTAGCCCTAAAAACTGTTATAAAAGTTTGGCTTATTGGTCTAGATTTTTTTTAACTGTATTTATCAACAGTGGCCCAATGAAACTTTACATTTTTGTGTCAGCTTTTAAAAAAAGAAGAAAGTCTAGGGAAAATGGAGCAGGAGTTGGAGGCACGAACCAGAGAACTTAGTCACACCCAGGAGGAGTTGATGATCTCCAGTCAGATGTCTTCAGACTTAAGCCAGAAGTTAGAAGAATTGCAGAGACACTACTCAACGCTGGAAGAACAGAGGTTCTTGCTTGGTCTGTGGGGCCCATGGGAAGCGGTGTTAGTGTTGCTCTGGCTATAGCCTACCTGCCTTTTCCCATTGCTCATTGCAACACTTTCTGATCTTAGTGCTGGCAAAGGCGTCTGGACTGGTCCTCACCTGGCTGGGGCTCAGGAAACATCCCCTCAACCCTGTCATCAATCTCTCCTCTCTTCCCCTGCCTAGACTCAGAACCACTCCATCCAGGGTTGAATTCTGAGCAATTCAGTATGGTTTTAGCTTGTCAGCTATTGAGAAATCGCTTGCTTAAACTTGGGTGGAATTTTTCTCTTTGGAATTCTGCTTCACTGAAAGCCAAGGAATATTCTCCATTGATAATTCGCATGGGCTAATAATATTTGCAGCCCTGGCACGTGAAGAGCCATCTGTATTTTTCCTGTGGAAGAGTGTGTCTTAGATGAGATATCCAAATTTTTTCATTGTCTGCTTTCTTTCAATGAAGAGATCATGTGACAGCTTCAAAAACAGGTGCAGAAAATAAGATCACAGCCCTGGAGCGAAAGGAACAAGAGCTCCAAGCGTTCATTCAGCGGCTTTCCATTGACTTGCAAAAGGTAAGTAGAGTACTTGGAGTGAACCTGGATTTCTAGAATTCATGAATTGGGGTAAAAACTCATTCTGTCAGAAACCTCAGCCTGAGAGCGGCTGCTGAAACTTATGTTTCTCAGGCAGTACACATTGTCCTAGTTCCTGGTCTAGCCAGGCTGCACTAAGATGGATATGGCCACCCTAGGTGAACAAGGGTTACTTAACAGAAGAGGTCAGTATTGTCCTGACAGGAATTCTCAAACATATGCCATTTGGCCTGGTCAAATACATCTTAAAGTACCATTTGATGGATCCTGAGCATAAGAAAACATAACAGTCTTGGGTAACATAGCCAGGGTTGTACCTTTGTCATATTGTTGTTGTGAGGTGCCGTTGAGTCCTTTCTGACTCATAGTAACCCTGTGTACAACAGAACAAAACACTGCCCGGTCCTGCGTCATCCTCACAATTGTTGCTATGTTTGAGCCCATTGTTGCAGCTCGTGTGTCAGTCAGTCTCCTTGAGGGTCTTCCTTTCTTTCACCGACCCTCTATTTTACCAAGCATGATGTCCTTCTCCAGGGACTGGTCCCTCCTGATAACATGTCCAAAGTGAGACATAGTCTCACCATCTTTGCTTCTAAGGAACATTCTGGGTTTACTTCTTTCAAGACAGATTTGTTATTCTGGCAGTCCAATCGTCAACACCATGATTCGAAGGCACCAATTATTCTTCGGTCTTCCTTTTTCATTGTCCAGCTTTTGCATGCATATGAGGCAGTTGAAAATACAATGGCTTGGGTCAGGCGCACCTTAGTTCTCAAAGTGACAGCTTACTTTAAAGAGGTCTTTTGCAGCAGATTTGCCCAATTCAGTATGTCGTTTGAGTTCTTGACTGCTGCTTCTATGAGCATTGATTGTGGATCCAAGTAAAATGAAATCCTTGACAACTTCAGGCTTTTCTCCATGTATCATGATGTTGCTTATTGGTCCGGTTGTGAGAATTTTTGTTTTCTTTATGTTGAGGTGTAATCCATACTGAAAGCTGTAGTCTTTGATCTTCATCAGTAAGTGCTTCAGGTCTTCTTCACTTTCAGCAAGCAAGGCTGTATCATCTGCATATTGCAGATTATTAATGAATCTTCAGTCATGATGCTGCATCCTTCTTCATATTGTCCAGTGTCTCAGATTATTTGCTCAGCATACAGATTGAATAAGTATGGTGAAAGGATATAAACCTGTGAACATTTGTCTGTACCTGACTGAGCAAGAGTTACTCTAGTGTATGTATGAGATGTGAAAAGGTTGAGCCACAAGATACGTACATTTTCAACTTTACTAGATAATGTCCAATTGTTTATCGTAGTAGTTGTAATAATTTAAACACCCCTACCAGCAGTGTATAAGAGTTTGGGTTATTCTACTTTTTTTTAAACTTTTAATTGTCAAACTTTTAATTTTTGTCAGTCTGGTGGGTATGAAATATTATCCTACTGTGATTTTAATTTGCATTTTTCATATTACTAATGAAGTTTATCATCTTTTCATATGCTTATTGGTCATTCATGCTCTTCTGAGAAGTGCTGGTTCAAATCTTTTGTCCATTTTTCTATTGAGTTTTCTTTTTCTCGTTGATTGTGGGAGTTCTTTATGTATATCCTGGATGCCATCCATTTGTCTTTGTCAGTTACATGGGTTGCAGATATCTTCTCCCAGTTTTTGGCTTGTCTTTATACTCTTTATGATGTCTTCTGATGACTATATGCTCTTAATACTAGTGTAGTTGAAATTTAAGTTTGTGCTTTTATCTTTTTAAAGAAATCCTTCCTTACCCAAGATCATAACCTTACTCTTCCATATTATATGAAAGTTTTATAGTTTTGCCTTTTATATAGTCTTTATTATGACTAAAATTCAATTTTGGTGTAAGAAAGGGATCTACATTTTTTGGGGGGGAGGGTACCATTTATTGAAAAATCTGTTTTTTTCTTGGTGATGGTGATGTTCTGTGCCATTGAGTCTATTCCAACTCATAGCCACGCTGTATAACAGAGTGGAACTGCCCCATAAGGTTTCCAAGGCTATAATCTTCATGGAAGCAAATTGCTACATCTTTCTCCCGCGGAGCAGCTGGTGGGTTTGAACCACCAACCTTTTGGTTAGCAGCTGAGTGCTTAACCATTGTGCCACCAGGGCTCCTTGTTCTTTCCTTACTGATCTGCAATTTCAGTTTTGTCACAATTCAAGTTTCCATATGTTCGTGGGACTACTCCTAGGCTTTCTAGTATGTGCCCCTTCGGTATTTGTACCAATACTATACACTGCCTTACTAGCTATACTGTTAGGATAAGTCCTGGTGTCTCCCTACGTAGTGCTTTTTTAGGAGTTTCTTGAATATTCTCGGCCCATTGCTCTTCCACAGAACAACTTGTCAGGTTCCTCAAAAAAACCTGTTGGGTTGTTCATTAGAATTGCATTGAAGCTGCAGATCCATTTGGAGAACATTGATTGCTTTATGATGTGAATTTCTTATCCAAGGATGTGGTCTATCTCTCCAGCTATTTTGGTGTTTGTTTTTATTTTTAATGTCTGTTAATAAGGTTCTCTAATTGTCTTCATAAAGATTTGTTATCTCTTCTCAAGTTTATTCCTAGGTGCTTTAATTTTTACACCAGTTGTAAATTGTGTCATTTTAAAAGTTATTTTTCCATGTGTTGCTGGCATATAGAAATGTTATTATTTTTATATATTGATTTTTTTGTATAACTTATTAACTCTAATAATGAATCTGTAGATTCTCTTGAGTTTGTTTCTTTAATAGCGGTCATATAATCTGTGAATAATGACAGTTTTGTTTCTTTCCAATTCTTATACCTTTTTTTTCTTTGCCTTATTCTGCTGGATGAGATGTCAGGTATAGCAGTGACCATAATTTCAAAAGACAAGCAATCTTGTCTTATTCTCAAACTTCAATGTTTTACCAACAATTGTTGTATTTTCTGTAGATTTTTATAAGGTTAAGGAAATCCCTTTGTATTTTTTTAAAACAATTTTATGAGGTATGATTTACATATAACAAAATGCACACTTTTCATATATGTAATATAATGAGCTTTGACAAATATGTACCCATGAAACCACTACTACCACAATCAAGATATAAAAAATTTCCCAAATGGTTCTCCTGTGCCCCTTCCAGTCAATCCCCACTTCCAACTCCTACCAACCACTAATCTTCTATCACTATAGATTAGATTTGTCTTTCTTAGAGTTTCCACCAGTTCATTAGTACATTTAAAAAGATTTTTATGAGTCCTTGACGGAGCAGGAGAAAAGTGTGGAGCAAAACTCAAATTCATATTAAAAAAAACAAGACTTACTGGTCTGACTGAGACTAGTGGAACCCCAGGAGACATGGCCCCCGGACTCTCTGTTAACCCAGAACTAAAATCAGTCCCGAAGCCAACTCTTCAGACAAAGATTAGACTGGACTATAAAACATAAAATAATACTCATGAAGAGTGTCCTTCTTGATTCAAGTAGATACACAGACTAAATGCGTGACTCCTGTCTGGAGGCAAGATGAGAAGGCAGAAGGAATAGAAGCCGGTTAAATGGACATGGGAAACACGGGGTGGAAAGGAGGAGTGTGCTGTCACGTTATAAGGTTTGCAACTAGGGTCACATAACAGTATGTGTATAAATTTTTGTATGAGAAATTAACTTGCGCTATAAACTTTCACCTAAAGCACAATTTAAAAAAAAAAAAAGATTTTAAAAATATTTTTTCGGCATTTTTTTGTTACTTTGAACAGGAGGGTCAGTCAGGGTACCTTGGTCTGGCATACTACTGAACATAGAACATCAGTTCCATTTTCGCTGTGTTGAGTTTGAGTTGTAATACATCCAAGTGGGCATAGCCAGCAGGCCCTGGATATGTTAAGTGTGGAATACACTGGAGAGGTTTGAAGTGTCTCAGATTTTAGAATCACTGTAATTGAAGCCAAGGATGTGAATAGAAGAAACTAGATAGAGGGAAGAGAGGAGGAGGCTTAGAATTACTCCTTAAGGAACTTCAGAATTTAAATACAAGGTAAAGGAGAAGGAGCCCAGCAAAGAAGAATTAGGGAGAGTGTTCAGAGTTAGTAATAAAAACAAACAAACAAACACGTTGCCCTCGAGTCGATTCCAACTCATAGTGACCCTATAGTTAGTTAGTTAGTAATAGATGAGTGCAAATTTGTGGCTTCTGACTTCAAATCTTATGTCTTTGCTAGCAGGTGAGTCTGTCGCTTAAATTGGGGAGAGCATTTGCCTCTTGCTGTACTAGGTCTGAGCTGGATCTCCGAAGGTTGCTGGGTTCTGATCCTGCATCTTTTATGTTCTTACAGGATGCAATTGAGAAGAGAATCTCGGAACATGATGGTCCCAGAGGATACAGCAAGGGAGGGAGAGAAGGTTTATAGTATAATGTGATCTCTACTTTCACCTATAGGTCACTGCTGAAGCTCAAGAGAAAGAAAAACTCATCACACATTTGCAGGAGAAGGTCGCATCCTTAGAGAAGAGACTGGAACAGAATTTATCAGGGGAAGAACATGTGCAAGAACTTCTAAAAGAGGTCATTTTACTTCTCTTTATACTGCCAGTGTTGAAAAGGCAGTGGTAATACTTAAGATTTCATAAAATCCTATAATTTTAGAGCTGGAGAGCCAGAATACAGCTTGGTATGGAGAGAGCTCTCTCCAACTTTGAATTGTCCTGCTTACATCAAAAATAGCCTCATGTCACCTCTGTGTACTGCTCACAGTTTTCTTTAGGGACGAGATAGCTTTGTTCAGAGATGCATATGAACAGATAGCATTCTGATCACCAATAAGCCACACCTAGTGATTTATGCCACGTGGGCTGTCTTGTCTTACCACAGTATTCCCCTTCTCTACCTTTTGTACTTCCTATTGGGCAGGGAGAATACTTACCAGTCGTCCTTTCTTTGGCTTGAGCAAGAATTGCCTTGGGCAGCAGACTCTCCTTGGCTGAGGGAAGCTGTTGAGCTGACTAGCCTTTTGGCCAGTGGTGTACATTAACTTATTTTCTCATCAGGTCTGAGCTAGTTTTCCTGCTTCTACTCCTCCTCTTTGTATCCCAATGAGTGGTATCACCATGACAAAGGTGACCCAGCTAAAACCTTGGGGTATTATCCTAGATTAAACACTCACTTTCTGTCTTCAGTTAGTTTCAGGTAAATATCTCCATCCCTCTGCCACTGCGGAGCCCTGGTGGCTCAGTGGTTAGGAGCTTGGCTGCTAACCAAAAGGTCAGCAGTTTGAATCCACCAGCTGCTCCTTGGAGACCCTGTGGGGCAGTTCTACTCTGTCTTGTGGAGTCGCTATGAGTCGGAATGGACTCAATGGCAGTGGATTTTTTTTTTTTTTTTAACAGCCTCTGCTGTACTTCAGGGCTTCCAGAACCTGTAGCCTAGTCTGTATTAACTGTTTCCAGACTGGCCTACCGGCAGCACTCTCTCTGCCTTCACCCTCTAGCACAGTCTTCCATACTCACTGCCAAAGTAAGCTTCCTGAACAGCATTTCTGACCATATCACTCCCTTAAACATCTTCCCCAGCTCCTCTACAGTCTACAGTGAGTATAATGTGGGCTCTAGGGTATAAACCTGATTTCTAGAATCAAACTCTTTTGGTTGGTATCTTGCCTCTTCTGCCTACTAGCTTGTGACTTAGAGCAAGTAACTTAATCTCTTTGTGTTTGTTTCCTCATCTGTAAAGTAGGGTTAATAATACTAAACTCATAAAATTGTTAGGATTAAATGAGTTACAATATGCGATGTGCTTAAAGGCCCCTGGTTGGTTCAAATGGTTTGCACTTGGCTGGTAACCAAAACGTTGGCAATTCGAACCCACTCGGCGGCACCATGGAAGAAACAGGCCTGGCTATCTGCTTCTGTAAAGATTACAGCCAAGAAGACCCTATAGAGCAATTCTGTTCTGTAACATAGTCACAGACAAAATCAATAATATGTGAAGTGCTTAGGATGGTGCTTGGAACATAGTAGGAAATCAATATATGTCAGCTATGAATATTATTGTTATGCCATTACCGTTTTATAACAGTGGTTCTCTTAAGTTTAGTGTGCATAAGAATTATTTGGAGAATTTGTTCAAAATATGTGTCTTTGGCCCTACCCCCAGAAAGTCCCATTTCAGTAAGCCTACAGAAAGGCCTTAAGTTTAACAATACCCAAAGTAAGTATAATGCCAGTGTTTGGAAGACCCCACTTTGAAAAATATTGACTATAGAATGAAGTCCAAACTCCTTTTTGCAGCATAGAGATCCTCCATGATTTGGCCTTTTGCCTAGCTTTCTAGTCTCAGTTCTTGACATAAACGTACCATCTCTTTGGCTCTTAAGGAGTTGTAGTTCCCAGAGGGCCCCAGGTTGTCTTACTTCTCCATTCTATTGGTTATGCTGCTCCCTCTGCGTGAGATGCTCCCCTACCCCTTAGCCACCTGGAAATTGTGAAGCCTCCCACTTCCCCTGAGGCAGTGAGTACCTCCCGCTCTGTGTTCCCTCTTTAGGGTGCTTTTTGCACTCTATCTTATACTTTCTTGGTCTTAGTTTTTTGTCCCAGCCTTAGGGCAAGGAACTGTGTCAAATTTATCTGTATATACCTTATGATATATGAATTCTGTCTGAATAATGTTATTTAAAAGAAAAAATGTGTCCCTTGTGCCTAGCAAAAGTCATAGTATGTTGTAAATATCAGTAAATACTTATTCATTGGAGAAATGACTATTTTCTTTTACTCTTCCTTCAACTTATAGAAGACAGTTGCTGAGCAGAATTTGGAGGATACCAGACAGCAGCTATTGGCAACCAGAAACATCCAGGCCACCACCATTGACATCCTGGAGACCCGGGTACTGACCTCATTCCCATTGTTTCCTGTGTTTGGGTGGCAGCCTGATTGGATGACATGGCTGCAATTGAGAATCTCCTTGGGTCAGAGTTTTTTCTTTTGGAGGGACTATTTTTTGGATCTTAGTGTTGAGTTAGTCATTTTCTTCATTCTTGCCACATTTCGTCATTGTTCCATACAGAGTTATTGGCTTGTAAATTTTATCTCCATTCCCTTCCCTCCTATAGGAAGCCATTCTAGTATACAGATCCTTTTATTGTTGAGATACCTTAAAATGGGTGATGCTGTTTTGTGTGCATGTGTTTTTAGTTTATGTAAATGATATAGCTATGTGTATGTCTTCTCTCTTACTTTCAACTGCTGCATCTTCTATCTGTATCCACTTCATTGTACTTACCCAGATTGCCAGATTATTTATCTGTACATCAGATTGTCTTTTTCCTACCACCACACTGCACTGAACATCCTTGTCTCTGCCGCCTTAAGGATGATAGAGAATGCGTACAACCTGATGTGACCAAGTAGTGCACAATTGTTCCCAGAATAGCTGACCTTAGCTATACCTCCTAGCATCCATGAGGGTTCCTGTATATGCAGCCGTGCCTTTTCCAGCATTGGTGTTTCCCAGCATTCAAATTTTTGCCAGTTTAATGAGAGTAAAGTGATGTTTCATTGTTCAGTTTGCACTGCTATAGTTATTAGTGGAAACTCTGGTGGCATAGTGGTTAAGAGCTACGGCTGCTAACCAAAAGATCAGCAGTTCGAATCCACCTGGCGCTCCTTGGAAACCCTGTTGGCAGTTCTACTGTGTCCTATAGGGTTGCTATGAGTTGGAATTGACTTCACGGCAATGAGTTTGGTTTTGGTTTATAGTTATTAATAGTAGTTCTGGTGACGAAGTGGTTAAACGCCTGGCTGCTAACCAGAAGGTTGGCAGTTCGAACCCACCATCCGCTCCGCAGGAGAAAGATTTGGCAGTCTTCTTCCCTAAAGATTTACAGCCTTGGAAACCCTGTAGGGCAGTTCTACTCTGTCTTACAGGGTTGCTATGAGTTGGAATGCACTCGATGCTAGTGGATTTTTTGGGTTTATTGTTATTAATGAGTTTGACCATCTCTTCATACGCTTGTTAGCCTTTTTGGTTTCTGCTGTTGGAATTGCCTATTCGTATCCTTTTGCTTATTTTTCTTTGGAGATTTCAGTCTTTTCTCAACTCGGTTTGTATGATTCATTATATATTCTAGTTCCTAATTCCTTGTCAGTTTCAGACCTGAACAGAAGTTCTTAATTTTGATGTAACCAGATTCGTCAGCTTTTTGTTGTATGGTTTGAATTTTCTTTTAAGAAATCCTTTTCTGCTCCTAAGTCACGGAGATATTCTTTTATTTTTTTTTCTATTAACTTTATAATTCTGTCCTTCCCATAGTAGCTTATTAATCCATTGACAGACCACCTTTGTGTGTGATGTTAGGTAGGGATCCAACTTTATTTTTCTCCATGAGTCTCAATACTGTCTACTAAACAGTCTTTTCCTTTCCACATTGATTTCTCACGCCAACTTTATGGAGGAGCCCTGGTAGCGCAGTGGTTAAGTGCTTGGCTGCTAACTGAAAGGTTGGCGGTTTGAACCCATCAGCTGCTCCATGAGAGAAAGACTTAGCAGTCTGCTTCCATAAAGATTTACAGCCTTGGAAACCCCATGGAGCAGTTTTCATATGCACAGGGGTTTGTCTGCATTTTCTAATATATTCCATTAGTCTGTTTGTCTTATCTTGTGCCAGCACCACAAAGCTTTTATTATTATACCTTTGTCGGTACTATATCTCAGTATCTGATAGGACAGTGTCTCCTTCTCTTTGATGGTTGACTTAACTATTTGTGTACCTTTGTTGTTTCACTTAAATTTTGAAGTTTTTTGATTTCCTAAAAAATCTAACCTGAATTTTTATTGAAATTGCATTATTCATTGGAGACCGATTAGGGAGAATTGTTACTTTACAGTATTAATTAATTAATTAATTATTAATTATTAATTAATTAATTCCTTCCAGGAACATAAATTCCATTTATTCAGATTATTTTGTGTCCTTTATTAGAATTTTACATTTTTTTCCCCATAGAGGTGTTATTTTCTTGGTTAAATTAACTTCTAGAAACTTTAGAGATTGTGTTGATATTGTGATGGTGTCTTATTTTCAATTATATTTCTTAATTGATCACTTCTAGTAGAGAAATGCTGTATTTTATTTATTTATTCATTCAGTCAGTACCTATCTTAGATATTGCCACCACTACCACTATTTGCTGTGGAGTTGATTCCGACTCATGGCGACTGTGTGTGTCAGAGGAGAACCATGCTTCTTAGGATTTTCAGTGACTGCTTTGTCAGAATTAGATTGCCAGGCTTTTTTTCCAGGGTACCTCTGGGTTAACTCAAACTGCCAACCTTCTGGTTAGCAGCCAAGCCCATTAACTGTTTGCATTAGATATTGCAGCCCTGCTGTGTTCTCTTATTCTAATATTGCATTTTTTTTTTTTTTGTTTTTCCTAGGCAGATAATCCTATTATGCGTAAACAATGACAGCTTTATCTTTTCCCTTCAATCCTTGCACCTCTTATTTCTTTTTCTGTCCTTAAAGCATTGGCAAGGACCTCCAGTACTGTATTAAACAGGAGCAGTGATAGTGGACATCCTTGTTTTGTTCCTAATCTTAAAGAGAATAACCTGAAGTTTCTTCATTTGGTATGAAGTTTGCAATAAGTTTTGGTATTTAATCTTTACAGAGTTAAGGCAGTTCCCTTCCAGTTTGCTAAGAATTTTTTTTTAATTGTGCTTTAGATGAAAGTTTACAGTGCAAATTAGTTTCTCATTCAAAAATTTTTATACACAAATTGGTTTTGTGGTATTGGTTGCCGTCCCCTCAGTGTGTCAGCACTCCCCCCCTTTGCCACTTCAGGTTCCCCGTGTCCATTTATCCAGTTTTCCTGTCTCTTCCTGTCGTCTTGTCTTTGCTTTTGTGTTTGTTTTTTTAAATCATAATCTGTGGAACTCTATTAAATGCTTTAACTGCATTTGTTGAAAAAAAACAGAATTTTTATCCTTTAGTCTACTAATGTAGTGAATTACATTAATAGATTTTCTGATGTTGAACCATCATTGCATTACACTTCTGGGATAACCACTATTTGATACATTATTTTTGTAGTAAACTTCTGGATTTGGTTAGCTAATATTATTTAGAATTTTTACATCTGTTTATAAATTAAGTAGGTTTATATGGTTTTAGAATCATGCTACACTAGCCTTGCATAAAGAGCTGAGCAGCTTTTGGTCTTTCTGTGTTCTGAAACAATTTAGGTTAAAATACAATTTATGCAAAATTACTATCTTACGTAAATTTGGTAGAATTCAACTGTAAAACCATCTGGACAATTTTTTTAGGGAAAGAAGTAGATTACAATTTCAATCTTTATTCCTAGTAAACTATTCAGGTTCTCTATTTCTTCTGGAACGATTTTGACATTTTTTTCTTCTTAAAAAAATTCATCCATTTCATCCTGATTTACTAATTTATTAGCATATAATACTCTTAAAGTGTGTGAGCATGTATTATTATATTTGCATGTAATAATATATGTAATACTGCTTTCTCCTAATTGCTGCTGTGTTTCCTTGTTTCTGTATTTTGTTAATTTGCATATTCATTCCTTTTTTTCCTGATCAGTGGTGCCAGAGATCTATCTCAGGAGACAGCAAAGCCCAACCCTCAGGCTAAGTGTTTCAGAAGCCATGCCCATTTATTTACATACTGTCTATGACTGCTTTCTTGCTACAGTGGCACAGTTAAGTAGTTGTGGTGGAGACCGTATGGCCTACAAAGCCTAAAATATTTATCCAATCTTTTACATAAAAAGTATACTGACCCCTGCTCTAACTTATTAATCCTTTGAAAGAACTAGCTTTTGATATTGTTATCTGCTCAAATTTTTATTCTCTTTTTTGTTTATTTCTGCCCTATTATTATTTTTTCCTTCCTATTTCTTTGTTTTTCTGATTTCTTGAGTTGAATGCTTAGCTTATTTTTTTAATCCTTCTTGTTTCCTGATAAATATATTTAAAGGTTTGTTTTTTCGCTAAATACTGTTTTATATGTATCCCATAAATTTTGACATCTAGCATTTTCATTATAATTCAGTTGTAACTATTTCTGAGTATCCTATATGATTTATTTTTAACTCAAAGATTATTTTTAACTAAGTTATTTGATTTCCAAACGGGCTATTTTGGGCTTCTTTTTACTAAAAATTTCATATACAAAAGTAAGGAGAATAATATAAACAGTCATGGGCCTGTAGCTATTTTATTAATTCCTAACTTTATTACTTTAAATTTAGAGAACATAGTTTGTATGGCATCAGTTCTTTGTGTCCTTTATGAGCTAATACATGGTCTACTTTTATAAATTTTCTTTATGCACACAAAAAGAAAGTGTATTTGTGTATGTGTGTAAAATAGCTTGATCTCATTAACCAAGTTTTCAGGTCTTCAGTATTTGTGTTTTGTCAGTTTGAACCATCCATTTGAGAGGTGTATATGTTAAATCGCCAACTCTATTTGTTGCTTTATCTATTTCTTAATGAAGCTTTGTCGTTTGTTGCTTGATAGATAGTGAACCAGCAATAAGCATCCTTTGGTACAATGAATTTGGATATACCTCAGTAATTTCCTGTCTTCTCTCCAGTCCCTATTCTCAAGTGATGAAAAGGTCTTTCCTTCTGCACAGCAAGGAGACATGAAGGAGAAGGCAAGACTGGGTAGGGAATCCCCAGGCAACCCCACTTCAGGAAGCAGGAGGTAGAGGGTGGGTCCCTGCAACCCTTGATTCCTGGTGCCAGGCACAGCCTGGTCTCTTTATATTGGGCTGAGAAAATGGAAGCCAGCTAACTGGGACACAAGGCAGTAAATCCAGTGGTCCTGCAAGTCCCAACCAGCCACAGCAC